AGGGAACCGTCTGTAAACTCCGAAACCCGACAGCATGTTTGCATGCTCCTTTAACGCCTCACATCGACACCACCAACCCCAAACCCTGGAACCGCAAAACGGTTAGAAAACCTTAAGCCCAAGCCTTCGGCCCTAAATGCTTGAGCCTGGCACCCGAACTGCCGGAGGCTGGGAGGGGTTGAGGGCTGAGGCTCCAGGGCTTCGGGTTGAAGAAATCTTGAACGACGGGTCCGGGGTACCCAAATCACCCTATAATCCCAAACCCTGAAAAAATCTTTCAAGCTGCATCTCCTGTCTCCAAGCCAGAAGAGACCCCCTCTTTGACTGGAAAGACCACCGAGGTCTTCGTCCATCCCGGGACAATCCCCGACAAGGAGGAGGATTCGGGGGGGGCAGGGGGTCAGCCCGATGTCTGAAACTGAGCATCCTTGCAACCCCCATCCTTTCGAACGCCTCTGGCTCAAAGCACGATGGCCACAAGCGGATCTAGCAGAAGTCTGCTCACGCAACCTGTTTAGCAGTTAAGCAACTTTCGGGCAGAGTTCGGTTTACATCTTATGCAGGTGCAACCTTCAAACCCGCACTGTATGAGCAAAGATCCGGAATCCATGTGTTTAACTGTAATTATTGCGAACTTTGGGTCCAGGGCAGGTGGACCGCTACTAGATACCATGCCTTGACAGTTAAAGTCGTCAAGTTTCAGCTTCCAGTGCAAATCTAGTTTCGACCATAGCATGCCGAATCGTGATGCTGCGTGTGTGGCTGGCATCAGGTGCGCTTTTGGTCAGTGTTCCTGTGGAGGAGCTCAGCGATGTGAAGAGCCTGAAGAGGAACTTGCAGCTACTCTGCAAAGTACCACGATTCAGACAGAGACTCGGTCTCTGCTGGAAAGCGTGGATTGCTTTGTAAGAATTATTAGTCATGTAGGCCCAAAGAGCTCCATGCTAGGATTGTCCTTCAAGCTCCCAGGAGACTTCTCCATCAAGGTGTCGCTCTAGATGACAAAGAAAGGCTGGAACTCCCGACGGACGTGCATCTGGTGATGCTGCCATTTGCATCTGCAACGGAAGAGCAAAGAGACGAGCTCGTCAACGCAGTAGAGCAGAATCGGCTTCCTCAGATTGAGGAGAATTTTGCGGTTCTGGGATCCTGTAAAGTTCAGGCTTCTCGGTCTTGTAGTGCTCCGAAACCTGAGCGGTTAAGGGTTGTCTGTTGCTCCCCAGGAGATCCTGCAGCGACCTCAAGATCCGAGCCTGACAGACACTTTGGGTAGAACACCCCTTGGCATGGCGTCGGATGGCGAGATACTTGCCTGGCTTTACGAGTCGTTTAGGGGTTCAGGCTTTAAGGGCGCTGGTCCGTTCAGTAGCCGCGCAGGTTTTGCATCAATACAACATCCCAAACGTCCGGAGTCTAGACTAGACAAGCCATTCGTCTGAAAGCCTTAAAAGGACAGCACACTTGCTCGTGGAAGCCGGATCGGAGCGGAACTTAGCGGATGACATCGGCGAAACGGCTCCTTGGTAGTCAGTTAAGGCACCTTTCGGGTTTCGGAGTTATGGCTTCGGCGCTCGTGTTGGGTGTGCCCTTGTGGGTTGAGGATTTAGGGTGTAGTCTGTAGGCCAACTTTTTGTGGGGTTTCGCTTACGATATACTCCTTGCGAGACACGTACAACGGGGTCGTTGAAGCAAACTGATACCATACAGTACCTCGTGTCCCCCTATCTTTTTCGAGGAAGAATCCGCGAGCTTTTTAGGAATGCACGTGCGGTTTCAGAAAAAACTTGGCCCACAAAGGCCCTGATCAGCGCGGCGCGCGAAGGCCGGACGGAGGTCGCGCGGGCGCTGCTGGAGTTCGGAGCTTCAACAGAACCTCGGAGTTCATCTGCTTGGGTTTAGAGGCCTTGGGCCTTATAAGCTTTAGGGTTATGTCATGGGAGCTCAATTAATTAAGTTCTGGGTAGTAGCCTTCCTGAGGAAACTTTGATATATGCATATCATGAAGTCACCCAAAACTTTGGTTCTGCAGGGTCGAGGCAAAACCTAAACTCGAAAGCTTGGGGTTTGGGGGGAGGCGGAGGGCCTCGGTTGCCACTGATTTTGTTGTAAGGGATAGCCAACCCAGAAGATCTCTACGAAACTACACTGCCAACAAATCCCGTTCATGTAACTTGTATGAAATTAAAGATCCCATGTACATACACAATCATATACGTTGTGCTTCTCCTCAGCGGTAATCAAGAGCAGCTGAGGAGCTGTCGGATGATGACGGTTGGACGCCTCTGACAGTCGCGTCGGTTCAAGGTGCCATGGGCCGTGTTCTATGTTGTGCCTCTTGTTTGACGTTCTAGGGTTGAAGATTGAGGGGATGGGAGTTTTAGCAGTGCAGGGTCATAAGGACAATGGGGTCTACTGATCGGCGGCTGATACATCTCTTCTGGCTGCATCCAAGGGAAGCCTCTCAGAAGCCACCCGGTGAAGACTTACAAAAACTGCAGCAAGCCCTTCAACAAGGCAACACCCCACACACACGCACGCACACACACACACACACAAAACAAACTCAAAAGGCTTCACGAAGTCCTACAAGCCCTNNACCCCCCCCCCCCCCTGCGCAAAAAGCACATCTCCTCAACCAGTCTCAAGAGGCCCAGCTCCAATTGCCCCCGTTACCCAGTTTAAACTTAGTGCTATAACGGTCACAAGAATGAGAACACAAAACAAACAATCTTAACCGTAGTAGATACAAGAGCAAGAATAGCCTAATAGCTAACAACAATAACAACCATGCTAATAGCTAGCACAAACAACAATAATAACCATGATAGCAATCATAATAATCAGAATCCTATATAAAAGGTAGTGTTAGAATCGCCAGTTTTGGGAGGCCACCTGGGCGTGGTCCGCTTGCTCCTCGAGGCCGAGGCGGAGCTCGACCTGGCGGCCGACCTGGAGTGGACTCCGGGGCCCTATAGTGGGGTTTGGGGTGTTTAGGGCTTATAGGGNNTATAGGGTTTATAGGGTTTAGGTAGGTAAATATAGGCTATATACTTAGGGCCGCCTTTTGGGGTCCTAGGGTTCACCCATACACTTCTCAGGGTTTGGTTTAGATGTGCAAACAGGCTGGTGGGTGTTCATTCTGTCTTGCTGTACGTCTGAAGCTTGTTGTTTTTTTGTTTTTGGTGTGTTGCGTGGTTGTCGCTTCTGCACCAGATGTTGGGTCCCATTCGGGATAGGAGAACTTTCGGCCTGAAGATTTAGAATGTATATGTGTGTGTGTGTGT